TAAAGATTTTATTTATTTATTTGACAGACAAAGATCACAAGTAGGCAGAGAAGCAGACAGATAGAGAGAGGTGGAAGCAGGCTCCCTGCAGAGCACAGAGCCCGATGTGGGGCTCGATCCCAGGACACCAGGACCATGACCTGAGCCGAAGGCAGAGGCTTTAACCCACTGAGCCACCCAGGTGCCCCGGTTGTGGTTCTTTCTAAGAGAAGACCTTTTGTCATTTATCAGTCTAGCAACAGAGGGTTCTATAGTAGCAGATAGTTAAAAGTGGGTGACTGTGCCCTTAACACCTTTGCAGCTGGGACTTGGTTCACTGTCTGAAACTGTTTTCAATACAGTTTGAGATCATGGTCTAGTATACGCCAACTTTCCATAGTGAGGGAGTACTCTCCCTCTTCTGGCCAGATTTTAATTCTTTTTTCCATTTGAACTTTCCAAAGGCCCTTGCTAAGCTGCTGTACTTTTGTCATTTCTTCAGGGTTTTCTCCCAACCTTAGTTGTCTGAGTTTGGGCTGATAATCTGCCATGTCTTAAAATTATTTCAATTTAATGTGTCAGCTGAAGACAATTCTACTTGTCTTCATTGAAGTAGATCGCTCAGTAGATTTATTTGTTTTCCTGGAATCTAACACTTAAATATTTCACAACATAGGAAGCACATTGAATTATAAACAGACACAATGGAATAAAATATGCCCAATATACATCCTTAGTTTATGTTCCTTTAATGGAAGCTGTACTCTTTGGAGAACACATTTATACTCACCGTAGCCATGTGTTACTGATTACCTCCTGTTGATGCTCCACTTGGAGAATGAGTAGTTCTTTGTCGCTTGACTCTTCATTCTCCATGTCTTCTGGACTCTCCATTCTCCTTCAGTGACTCTTCTCTACAACTGCACTTCCCAGTATACGAGCATAATGCAATGCAAATACTTGAATGTTTACATACAAAAATGCTCTATTTAACTTTGTGTCTCCACTAATGCATAATATATTTAACATTTGAAAATTTCTAAAAATTGCTTGTTTAGCCCAGGTATTCTAGAGACAGGACCTGAGCCAAGCACTTAAATGCTAATACCCTATTGGATACTGCAATCCCAGGGATGCAAGAGTGGGAGGGGAAGGAATAGGGAGAGCAAAGACAAGTGGGTATGTTTATGAGAGACATAACCAGGGAGGCTGTATTAAACTCCACATCTCAGAACAAGCATGGTGGGGAAGTGTCAGGAAGGGCAAGCAAGCTATCTCTTGGTTTTTCCCTTCTTCTGTCTTTCCTTGGTTAGAATTGTCCCATGCTACTTCCACATGGTGTTACCTGGAGTCTTAGGGTGGCCACTAGGGAAGCCAGGGTTTCAGTGGGTGCAGTCCTATCAGAAAAAAGGTGGTTCCTCCTTCTCAATCAATATGACCTATTGGAACTCCCAGGTTGGTGGTCATGGTGGTAAAAATGGTGTCCATGGCTTACCACAACCATGGCTTGAGTAATGTCCAGGAAGGGTATGTGATGCAAAGTGATCTGGTGTCTGATACAGTAATTATGCTAATGTTGCTTCCTAAAAGCCACAGAAAATGTTGAAATAGGCACTTACTCTTGGAAAATGGCATCACTCCTTAAGTGAAATATTTTAATGATCTCACTGAGAGCTCTCCAAATTAAAAAAAAAAAAATGCTCACTTCATCTTTACCCTTTGTCTTCCTAATTCAGTGCATTCTTTCATTTTCTTCATTCCTTCAGTGACTATCTGTAAAGCAGTTTGTGCCAGACACTATACTAGTCACTGGTGACACAGAAGAGATGGATAAGTAGTTAAATAAATGCTAGGAAATCCATAATTTTAATAGAGCACTTTGAAAGATGAGCAGGAGTTAGAAGGGATAGAGAAAAAGAAAT